CCACTTGTGACCGGCCACCAACTGGATTTAACTCCATTCACCACAACTCTTTGGGCCCAGCCACGCAGCCAGTTTTTTAGCCAGCAAAGAATACACTCATCCAAGCCATGAGCAGCCAGTTTCTCCAGGAGAATGCTGGGGGAAATGGTGTCAAAGGCCTTACTAAAGTCCAGGTAGACAACACGCACAGCCTTTCCCTCATCCACTAAGCAGGTCACCTTGTCATAGAAGGAGATCAGGTTAGTCAAACAGGACCCGCCTTTTATAAACCTATGCTGAGTGCATCTGATCCCCTGGTTGTCCTGTATGTGTCAAGTGATGGGACTCAGGATGAGCTGTTCCATAAGCTTCCCCAGTGCCGAGGTCAGGCTGACAGGCCTGTAGTTCCCCGGATCCTCATTCTGGCCCTTCTTGTAGATGGGTGCCACATTTGCTAACCTCCAGTCAACTGGGACCTCCCTGGTTAGCCAGGACAGCTGATAGATGATGGAAAGTGGCTTTGGGGGCCCCTCCACCACCTCCCCTAGTACCCTCCCATCCGGCCCCATAGACTTGGGTGTGTCTCAGTGGTGTAGCAGGTCTCTAACGACTTCCCCTTGGATTATGGGGTCTTCATTCTGTTCCCCGTCCCTGTCTTCCAGCTCACGGGGCTGGGTACCTGGAGAACAACTGGTCTGACTATTAAAGACTGAGGCAAGGAAGGCATTAAGTACCTCAGCCTTCTCCTCATCCTTTGTCACTATGTTTCCCCCCGTATCCAATAAAACACAGAGATTCTCCTTAGCCTTCCTTTTGTTGCTGGCCATTTGACCACATTGAACCAAAATATTGTCACAACCAGAACAAGATTCAGTTTTCCTCATTCTTTATGAAATACAAAAATTAACCCAAACTTCCTAATTTGGCTTTTTTTACAGCCATCCCCCCAAAAAACAGATACACTACTGGGAAACAGGACGCTGTGGCAGAAGTCCACCTTAGGTGAAAACAGCTCTCCTTGTGCTCACTAGCTGAAAGGAGAAACACAGAGATAACTCGTAAGGTGACAGCTCAGTTACACGCTGGAAGAGAGAGTACATCCAAGCTAGACAGGGGTCAGTAGACAGCTGGCATCTACCAGATCGAGGCAATTAAACAATACTCATCACAAATCAAAGCTGGCAGAAAAAGAAAAAATGGTGCAAAACCTTGCTGAACTGATGGGCACACAGCTCCTGAGGACTACTGTGCAGAGTTATGGCTCTGGGTAGCTATGGCTACTGGGTGAATTGGGATCTGTAGGAACCACTGAAGTTTAGCTCAAGTATGTTCCACTCATATAAATACTGAATGACATCAGGCTCTGCAAGCTTCCTGAAGCAATGTGATCAACTGGCCCAGAATCCCAACAAACTTTTCTTCTAACTTCTAAATTCAAGCTAAGAGCTTCCCACTGGGTCCGAACTGAAAGGGTGAACTGAATCCATATAGCAGCTGTCTGGAAAAACACGTATCTTGTCTGATATCAAAATGAAACCTGAAAAGTTCTGCATCACACACAATGTTACAATCATTTTGAAAGCCTTCTGTGTCAACAGGACTGACCAAGTCCTGATTTCCCATACAAACTACTGAGAAAGAGAGAAGAAATGTAAGAAGGTGACTGAGACTGCAGTAGTGAATACAGATTCTGAAGCACAGCAGCTCTGCTGCAGTGAAGTTTAAAGGGCCTGTTTTGCTGCACGATATGAGAGCTGTCTTTTGCCATTTTGGGGGCAATTCTGGAAATATGATGGTAGCAGAAGAGCCCAATCAGCAAAAGCAGACTAGTCCAGGTGCCAATGAAGTTTGCGTCTTTCCACCGAGGTTAATTCAGATTGAACTGGATTCTTTCCAGCCCCTCTTGAATCCTCTTCCTGCATCATTACAACTCCTCAGGGAGATGCACCATAATCTCCAAGACAACTCTCCTCTGATCTAGAGAATGGGCCAAACTTCAGGCCCTCTACAGGGTAAGGGCATCCAGAAGCACACATTTTTTACCAGAGTGAGCAGACAATACTGGTAGAACAAGATGAGGGAAGAAGGTCATACAGATAGGCAGAAACATCCTGCACAACAAAATCCAGGGGATAGCTGCCTTTGGATCTCAAAACTCACCCTGGCATGCCAACCGTCCCAAGAGCCAGAGATTTGGGGAGTGATTCTGGCCAATTGGAAGGAAGGAGTTGTAGGTCTTTCCCATCAGAGATGAAATGAGTTCTCCAGCCACTTCTAGCCACAACAAAGGCCCCCACTGTGAAAGCAGGATTCTTGCTTTCTACAATCCTGTTTAAAAGAAAGGGGGGGAGGGTGGGTGAAAAGAATGCCCTGTCAGAGACAAATCATTACTGGCTCTTCCTTCCTTTATTCCTGTTGCCCTGTGATGCAGGAGAAAATAAATATTTCACATCAGGACATTTAGCCCATACCTGCTGGTGCTGTAGACTTCTGATGTCTTTCCTGAAATGTCTACAATCTCTCATCACCAGGGGGATACTGGGCAAGATGATTCTAGACTCAGCCCTGCCCACAACAAATCTAATGTTCCCACATGGATGCCAACTTTTTTTTGGCTAGCACCAGTCTGGTATGAATTCAGGCTAGGCTTCTGTGAGTTAGAAGGCAGGAAAGAGGACACCAGGATTAAAGGGTGGAAAAGCAAGAAGTCACAGATAGGTTGTAACAAGTAGTTCCCTTCTCAGACAATCTGCACCTCATTTAAAGGTTGAAGATCCTGAAGATGGAACCTCTTGGGGTAACAAAACCAGACAGAAAGCAGTTCTACGGAGAGAAGTTCATACTTGCAGTGTCTCTATGCCAAACGAAAATTCAACTTTCTTAGCCCAATGGGAAAACTACATTGGGAAAGGGTAGGTAAACAGCTTTGAAATATTGGAAACTGTTGGCCTTCTGTTTGGCAGACTTTGTTGTTAATTTATCCCAGCCCTCAGTGCTCCTGCAGAGAAACACAAGAGTCAAAGGCCACAGACATTCCTGGGCAGCAACCTAGAGGCAGCACAGCAGGAACAAACTGACAAAGGGAAACATCTGTGTAGCTAAATTACCACAAGCTTGGGAAAGGATGTATTTAAGGTTAGATAACCCTTTGGCTAGAGCTGTATCTTAGGTGATGCTGAGGTATTCTCAGCTGGAGTAGATAGCATGCATGGTTTCAGGCATGAAATTACTAGCACAGCAGATTTTAAAATGTGACGTTGATGCTTATGGCAAGTACAATGGTCGGTCCTTCATACCTCTGTTGTTAAAAATTTCCTTTGAAAACATTATTGCCAGAAATAACATAGAGATTGTATCAGAGGCCTAAATGCTCTCCAAGAAAGCAAAAGAGGTTCTTAGAGGAAAACCACATTCCAACCAATTACAGCTAAGAATACAGTTGCAGAAGTATGTAGACTTATGTCAAGAATAGGTAAAGCAGGCTGCAGATGTCTTGAATGTCAGCACATTCCTTTGAGATCTGCCATGTGTATGGATAACAAGAACTGAAGATCTTACCTGGCAACCTGTGTGCCTATCATTATGTCCCCTTCCTTCATGTCCCTTCGACTGTAAGGTCTGTAACATAGGCAGAGATGGCTTACTGTAAGAAACTTTAATGATGTTCCAGATATGCTATGAAGCAATAGCTACTGTCTGACCCAGAAAGAGAGTATAAGCAGTGATGTTGAACAGATCGCAAAGAGCTTGTCATTGTAATGACATAACTGGATGTTTTCCATAGCCAGTTACTTGAGCATCCCATCTTGACTGAATACTGGGCTTAGAGTGTTGTGGACACAATAGCATTAATCTTCCTAGCATGGTCCACCACCACAAGACTGAGACTCCAAAGAACTATCTCTGACACTAGGGTCCACCAGACTTCTTCAAACTACCCAGTCTCCCGGTGCTTGAACTACCAGCTATTAACATGGGCATATCAGCAACTTCCTACTTAGAATATGTATCCTTAAGTACAAGGTTGCCAAGATAAATGAAGGAGCTACTGCCAACAGGGCTGCAGTCTCATCTGAGCCTGTTGCATTCCAGTGGAAGAGACATGACAACAAACAACAGCAGAGTCCAAGAAAAGTCCAGGACTGCAGCATCATTGTCCTGACGTCTGGCTAAATCTGGCACAGCTCTATATTGGGAGTCTTGTAATTTACACATATTTTATAAAAATCAGACAAAGGCATCTGGAACTCTGGCAACAGGGGATGCTCCCAGTACCTGTTCCTTTTAGGTTTAAGTGGGAGATCAAATGAGGTATCTTAGCCAGCAATTAAAAAAAGAAAAAAATATATACCTCATGTAAGGATCAACACTGAGAAACACTGATTCAAGGAGCAACTCTGCAGAAAAAGACAAAGCAAATTCCTGGGCATTAGCAGTGCAGTAAAGCATAGTTTCCACAAGTCAGTCTTTCAACAAAAGCCATAGGAATTCCTGACAGCTCAAAAACTCCATATCCCATCACCCTTTAGGGAAAAAGGATCAGAACCAACTACTACATTCATTAGCTTTGTCTGGATTATCACTGTGCTGTTACAAAAGGCACTTTCTGTAATGTCCCTTTAGCTTCTTTTCAACCTTGTTTTTCTTTATCTGCCTCCTCTCTCTGTAGGAGGCTCAAGAGGTCAGACCCCCTAAGCAAAACACTAACGTACTTTCGACCCAGATACGAAATGCCTTCCCATGATTCAATCAGCAGAGGTGGTAAGAAACCTTGGCACAAGTCAAATATAAACACTACTACACACTACACTTTGCTCCCTTAAACAGAAAGCATTAGGCTGTCTTTTCTAGGTAGCCTAATTCACCTTACTGTCTCTAATGCCACTAGTTCTTGTGAAAGATACTGCTAAACAAATTTTAATTTAAATTCTAATTCACACAGCAGATTTAGCTGTTCATCTCCACCTAATAATACTTTTCATTGCCTGTGCTGCAGTGTTCTAGCTGCTACAAGCTAGAAACATATTCAAATATAAATATTTTCCCATTTCTCAGAGCGAGCAGGAAGAACAGTCAAGGCCATGTAATATAACAAGAAAGGCCATCTCCTTTAGAAGCGTTACTCTAGTATGAAGTTATGCCTCTTCTTGCTGTAGGGATTAAAATGGGAAGGAAGAAATGACTCCATGTTCTTAAATACCCACAGGCATGAAATTTTTAAGTGTGTCTGAACGCTATAGAAGTACACATGCTATGAAAACACTTGAAACTATATGTAAGAAGAAACTACCTTTCAAACCTTTAAGTTGTAAACATAACTAGTACTTTAATGCAAATTCTTTGGCTCACCTTCTAAACTGGAGTAAATTTTGTAAAGGACAAATGGTGGGATGAGTTTCAAGACAGCATGGTACAGATGTCCACTTGAAGCCAAAAATAAATTCTTTTATCAACAGCTCTTGCATTAAATAAGTTATCATATTCCCTACCCTTTTCAAAATAAAGAAACACAGGAATAAAACCTGTGCATTTTTTTCTCCTTTTATTCACTCTTGCTGTTACAACAGGTCAAATATAACAGATAAGCACTGGCAAAAAAATAGATGTTGAAGGCAGACAGAAGTCTTGCCTTGTTGCTTCTTAAAATGAAAGGCCAGCCCACATTGACTTCAGCCCCAAGGCTTCGCAGCTGCAGGCTCCCTCCCACCCCAGTCACTCTGCTCCCTGCCAGCACTACCTTCAATACCTTCCCTATCAGCATGAAAAACTCCAATGAAAACATACTCGCAGAAGCTACCGTCTTCTCCAGCTTTCTCCAAAGGATTTTGCAAAATAAAGTAGATGAAAACCTTTCACCAGTACAGTATGTTTGGGTTTTACTACAGTTATCTCATTTGTTCTGTGTCACAGTTCAGTTTTCTCTCTCTCTAAATTAAACTGTTTCCTTGTGGCTGTTGGTTTCAAGGGCATATCACTTCAGCAATTCTCTCCAATAAGCTTCATTTGCAAACACATTCAAATGCCTTTGCCATCAGGCACCACGTGTGAGACTGTGAAAGGCATGCCGCAGCTGCTGCATGCTAGAGTTAGAAGAGCTCAGCCACTGTTTCTACGGGTATTATCAGAAGGCAGCACATCTTAAAACCCACCAAACCCATCAGAATACATGTTCTCGAGCAGTCGCCCTTCTCTGCTAAGGTGCATGGCTTGCCACAAGCCATGCCAACCCATTTTTGAAAATCCAAGCCAGAGAAACATACAAACAGTTCTACAGATGCACAGCCATTCATCAGCAACCAGACAACCTCCGGAAAAAATAAAAACAGGTAGCACTCCACTTACCTCCATCCTTTAGGTTTGGCAGCTCTATCTTTTTCAGGTCGAAGTCACTGGGTTTGGGGAAACCCTCAAAATGCTTCTTCAGGACCCACACCTTGGCAGTCACCATCCTGCACAACAAACAGCACAGCGAACGAGCACCTGTCAAAGAGATGCCTAACGGTGCTGGGCTGCTCACAGGGGCCAGTTTAGGCTTTATAAAGCATAAAAGTACCTTGATAACTTGCCATCACACAAGACAGCCTCTGCCTGCACCCTGTAGCAATATCACTGGATCAAGAAAATGTCTGAAAAGCCCCCTCATTGCCTAAGCAACCCGGAGCTTACTGCGACCTGCCAGACCTCCCTGCCTGCTGGCAGCAAGCCCTGGTGTGGGAAGCCAGCAGGAGGTACTGCTCCCACTCTAAAGAAATTGAAGAGGGAAAATCTTCTAGTTTAAGGAGAAAAAATATCCTGGAAGGAAAAAAAAAACCCCACCCACTTAAACTCACTCTTTTGCCCCGATTACATGGGGTGAGTACTGAACCTAAACTTTTACAAACTTGAACCAAAGTGCAAGTGAGAAATACAAAGGTAAGAAAGACCTCTTTCCGTGACACCCCATATGCCAAAAGAAAATGCTACTCCAGTTGCCAAGCTCGGGGCTTGGAACTAGGAGCACGCTGTCACCACCATTTTCTGTAGAAGATGGAAACAAACAAATGCCTTGCATTTGTTTTACCCTCACAGTCCCTTTTTCCTTCCTATAAGCAAGCCTATCAACAAAGGCAAAGAAAGAGAAGTTTATACTTGAAGCAGGCAGGTGGAAAACTGTGTCTTCTGCTGACCAGGCCAGTCAATAACCTTCTGCACCCGACTCAAGTTGATGGCTGGACTCCTTCCGTCACACACACCTCCTAAAAGGCAAAGACGTGCTTTTATTGACAGAGCAAGTACCACCACCCACTTCCCCAGGAGCAAGTAAACCTGGCACAGGGCACACCCGACGTGATTCACCTTTCTTCTATCAAGATTTCAGATCATCCTTACAGACCGCTCCAATTCAGCGCTCAGCCACTTGCATAGGGATGTTCTGCAATATGCCAAGCTAAATACACAAACCCCAAGGTCCTAGAAACCACAAAATACTGCAGTCTGGAGGCTGAGACTATCCCCTGGAGCAGGAGTTTCTTCAAAACCCATTTTTCCAGTCTGTTGTCCCTCAATCAGGGCTTGGGTCCGTGCTAGCAAGCACACAGAGCTGAGATCCACCTTCTGACCTTTAACCCAGTTCTGGACAGAAATGGGTGCCAGCGATAGCTGGCAAAGCCAGCACACCTCCTTAGAGACGTAGGCTTTTACACAGGTTACAACAAAGAAGAAGTTGCACAATACTCATTCATTGGTCAGCTATTGATTAGATAACTGATGCTCTTCTGAGCATGTGGCCGTTAGTGGTTAGTTCATTATACAAAGGTGGTCTGACATTAGCAGGTAAGGTCCCCTCCCAGGGTACGATTTTTACTATGCTACTTACTCCTAGGCTACCTTCGGGCATCCCTACTTCTTTCTCCCCCAGCCCCCTGATCAGAAGGTGATTCATCTTTGTTGCCATGAGCACATTTTTGTCATTCTGGTGTTATCTTGCTGTGATTCTTTCCTTTGAGGACCACAGTTCCAGCCCTAAAACTCTTAAGAGTTCTGCCACTGAGGAAAAAAATATCAAATTCATTGTTCAATCCATCATTTAACACAGCGAATGATCCATACGTACGCCACTATGACAAGGGAACACTGCCATGACATTTACACAGTGAGATGCTCTCACTATGCAGGTTCTCAGAGGACATCCCTACCCACGCGTGTGCTCTGGCATCCCGGTACAACCACCAAGGGACCAGAGGTTGCGTGGCTGTGCCTCTGCACGCCGGGATCTCCCTGCACTGCAGAGCCACCTTAAGAAACAGCACCAAGCCTGGGCATTTTGCCTCAACTGTGTTGCAATGAGGCATGCGGCATGGGAGAAAACTTTGTCCAGGGACTATCTGTTTTCAGCTTTTATTGCTCTTGTGAAAATATTCAAGTAGAATATGAAGGGTGGAAAGTGTAAAGAGCCCAATATGTAGCAGCACATTTAACTACAAAACACTTGAAGGCAAAACTACTAACTAGGAACAGAGAGCTGAGAAAATAAACAAAACTTTTTAAAGACACACAAGCAAGGACCAGGGAGAAGAGGGCAAGCTCTCCGTTGTTTAGGTAAAAGCAAAAGCCACCAGGCCCATAAATTCATCAGCACTCAGCACCTTTCTGTGATGAACCAGGGATAGTCCTGGCTCCTCGATGAGAAACAAACACAGCACAGGTGAAGGGCTCCTGCATCAGGAGCGTGTGCTGGGGAAATCACCTATATCAGGACACGTATGTCTTTCACAAAATGACAGAAGTATCATCGAGCTCACAGTCAAAGCACCCCGCATTCATCAAGTGAGCAGCCAAAATCAGCATTCCTCACATTTCACATACAATAACAAGAACCAAGGTCACAGAAAACTTATCTGCAGCAATTGCCATCTGATTTGCAGATGTTTTTTTCTAAAAAAAAAGAAAAAAAAAGCAAAAAAAAAGCAGGTGGCACTCTCCTGGCAATTCCATCTGCTGCTGCATTTGCTTTGGTATCAGCAGTGCTTACCTGTACTTTTCAGCAACAAAGGATATCGTGACACTGCAGCAACAACAGAGCAACCTCAGCAAAGGAGCTTACAGGAGCAACAGGTGAGCTCGGAGTGACACAACACTGATCCCGCTCACTCGCTTACACCCACAAGCAGTACGAGGTGTCTGTCCCAGCAGGGTGTCCTGCGTCCAGACCCAGGCACTCAGGTGCTCCAGGTGGGAATGCCTGGGGACAAGGGATGCTGGCTAGGTTGGCAGCCGTGCGCTGGTGTGCCATTTGCACCCCCGGGAGGCAGTGGTGGCTCAGAAACGCTTTGTCTCCCGTCCTGTTCATCCACATTGACTCTCTGCTCGTTGTCTCTTGTCTGTGTGCCTCAGGGCTCCAGCCCTGTTCTTTATATTCCCACCATCATATCTTAATAGCTTGATTCTTCACTTTAGTCCGAGTACAGGAACTTGTTGCCTCTTGTTTTAGGCTGTCCCTTTTTTCCCTACCTGGTCCTCTAAGAAGCTGCACAAAGATGTGCTGTAATCCTGATGTTCTGCAAATCTAGGTGCCATCAGTATGGGCCATTTCTCTCTGCTTCCACACTCAGACCTCCTATTCACACCAATCTTCACATTCCTACCAAAAATTTCTGCTTTTCGTGATACACAGATTTTTCAGCAGAGCAATGATCTCTCCAATACTGAAATATTATATACTCCAATCCCAAACAATACTGAAAGATTAATTTCACTGAACCATTTTTAATACATTTAGGTCTGACTTCGGGAACAGGACAAATTTTCTGCTGACCACATCTCACCACCTACTGAAATCGCATTATTATAGCCACTTCAAGGCTAGAGATGTTTTCTGTAGGCTGTAAAACAAAAAGCCCCAAACCAAACACACAGAAAACAGAATGCAGACACATGCTTGATGAATGGATTCCCAAACCAATTTCCGGTTAACAAACCAAGATTATTTTGTATGTTTAGATATAAAATCATAAAAGCTAGTAAGCGCTACATTGCTTAAGCACATTAAAGAACTCTAAAGCATAAACAGCAGTGATGCAACATTTGTGGAGTCCAATAATAGCATTACTGGACTAAGCATGTGATAGCCACTACCTCAGCTCCAAGAGCAGTAACCATTGCACTCTAAAACTACTTTGTTGTCAGTGTCAGTGGGTTTGAATAATACATTTATTTTGTGTGTTTTCTGCATAAAGTGCTTCACAGCCCATTATAATCATTACTGCAAAGAGGCAGTTATGATAAAAACTTGAGAAAGGACAGTCCATGAAGGTGATAAAAAGACTCTTTTAAAAATAATTCATTCCTAGCAAGTCCCAGGAAAAAATTAAGGTGATGCATTTCTGCCTGATATTCTTACAAAAGAGCCATTAAAGCTTTTACTGAAATTGAAGTCCAAGACAACATTTATTCTGATGTCCTTCAAAGCCTCCTTGTCCTCTGGTCCCGCCCATCAAGTTATCAAAGAATAAAGTTTTACATTAATCTCTGCCAATTTTTTCCATAAAATCAGACACTTAGAAGATACTACCTCCCCACACATTACAGCATTACCAATTACCTGGGAGTGAATATGGCCTGAAATCGTAAGTGCCTGCAAGTCTTAGCAAAAATTATCTGTTCCTCCCTTCTGGCTTAGCTATTACAATGTTTTCTCAGAAATTATTTTTTTCCTGTGGTGAAAAACAAGGCAAAGGCAAACCACTCCCATGGTACTTTTGGCAGACGCCATACTGCAAATATCTAAGCAACCATGACGCTGCATTATGAAACAATAAAGCTGCAACTTCACTTTTTTATGCAATACTATCAAGCCCTGGTCGGAGGTCAGAGATTGGAGGTGAGTAGTCATTGCTCAGTAAAGACTGCGCTGCCCTGCACTTTGTTACAAGGCTGTAATTTGCACAGAGGTTCAACAGTCCTGCAAGGCAAGACCACACGGGGAGCAGAAAAAGGAAGCCAAGACCTGCACTGAAACAGGTCAGCTGCCCTTCAGCTCTCAGAAATGGCACAGAAAATGAGAGTCTTAAGAACTACATCTGATAAGAAAGAATAAGCAAGAAGCCCACAGGTAGGAAGGAAGACAGGACACTGCAGGTGACGGAGGCTGACCAACCAAGCCAAAGCTTCTTGAAGGACCAGCTGTGATTCCTTGGTCACTGTGGAGCACTCTGAGCTTCTTCCAAGCACTCTTTCTACTTCCCCTTTGCTTAAATGTTGGTACAGTCCAAGCACATGCGGCAATGTTTCATTTGCTTGATTTTACAGCTGCCAAAGAAAACTCCCCTTTTTTAAAAGCTCCATTAAGCTTAAATTTCTAGAAAACTCCATTTAAATTAAACCCTAAACGTTTGACTACACCAAGCAAGCAATTTTGTTTCAGGGGAAAAAGATAAGAAATCTCAGGCTGGTATCTTATTTTGCAAAGTTACTGCAAGAGCTTCCGGACTTACTAAGCCCATCTGTTGACTGCTCCTTCCCTCATTTCTCGTTACTTACCTCCACAAAGATCAAGCACCCCCGTCTCTTGCAGCGTAGTGCAATAAGACAGCCCTGCGTGCTCAGAAGGGAAGTTACAAACATGGTTTCAAGCACCAGCAATCCCTCTGAGGCCCTCTCCTGAATTTCTGTAATATTACAAGGGCAGACATCCCTGAATGAGTTCCTGCTCACCACCTAAGCAACCAGCCTCTCCCTCACAAAGGAAACTCACTGCTCCAGCCCACCTAGCATATCCGAGACATACCTGTTATCTGTTACCGCTCCAATACATCCATAGTATTGAGACTGAGATAGATAAATGAAAAGATAAAAGGACAAGAGGGAGAAAAAAAAAAAGAGGGAAGTCAATGAGAGTCTAAGGAACTGCAGTGGAAGGGTGGAAGCACAGAGCAGCAATCAGCATCTGTAGCATCACTGCTTTAGACAGCAGACAGCTTCTGGCAAAAGGGGCCTGGCGACCGCCCCGCTCCCGCAGCGCACATCAGCTCAGCATAGTACTTTACCGTGACATTCCACAGCAAGCAAAAATGGGTGCATCCAAGCAAAATGCCATCCTAGGGCTCCCACTGCCACGACAGAGCAGCCATCCCGCAGTGACGTACAGTCCCAGACAGATTTGCCTCTCACCGCTGATCAACACTGGTCACTTGTGAGCTCTGACATTTCCTACGCTCTGTAAACAGGAGTGTCCATCTAGCCCTACCAGAGGGAATGCAATATTGGACCTGTTGGTCACCAACACAAGTGAGCTGATTGGTAACGTCAAGACTGGAGGCAGCCTGGGCTGCAGTGACCATGCACTGGTGCAGTTTGCAGTCCTGAGGGATATGGGTCAGGCAAAGAGTAAAGTCAAGACCCTGAATTTTAGGAAGGTTCAAGGAGTTAGTCAATAGGACCCCCCGGGAAACTGCCCTCAGGGACAAGGGAGCAGAACAGAGCTGGCAGATCTTTAAGGCTGCTTTCCACAGAGCACAAGAGCTCTCCATCCCCAGGTGTGAGAAATCGGGAAAGGAAGGCAAGAGACCAGCATGGATGAGTCAATACCTGCTGCTCAAACTAAAGGGCAAGAAATAAATGTGCAGGCAGTGGAAGCAGGGACTGGTATCCTGGGAAGACTATAGGGACGCTGCCCGGTTGTGTAGGGATAGGGTCAGGAAGGTCAAGGTGCGCTGGAGCTGAACTTGGCAAGGGACGCAAAGAATAGTAAGAACGGCTTCTATAGGTATGTCAGCCAGAAAAGGAACATCAAATAAAGTGTACCCCCACTGATGAACATGACTGGCAAACTGGTAACAATGGACAAGAAGGCTGAGGTACTTGACAACTTTTTTGCCTCAGTCTTCACTGGCAGCCTCTCTTCCCACACCTCTTGAGTGGATGAACCGCAAGATGGGGACTGGAGGAGAAAAGTTCCTCCCACTCTAAGAGAAGATCAGGTTTGTGACCACCTGAGGAACCTGAACATACATAATTCTATGGGACCTGATGAGATGCATCCCAGCGTCCTGAGGGAACTGGCTGATGTAGTTGCCAAGCCACTCTCCCTGATATTTGAAAAGTCACGGCAGTCAGGTGAAGTCCCTGGTGACTGGAAAAAGGGAAACATTGCACCTATTTTTAAAAAGGGTAGAAAGGAGGACCCT